CTCTTGAGGTCTTTTACACTTTTGGGGGTCTCTCCCGGGGCCCTTCACGGGCCCCTGGGCTTTAGAAACGGCTTCAGGATGATGAGTTGGGTGGGCTTTTGTGGGGTTAGTGGAGGAGGAGGAAAAGGGGGAGGAGGAGGAGGAGGAGGAGGAGGAGGAGGGGGAGGAGGAGAAGGAAGAGGAGGAGGAGGAGGAGGAGGAGGAGGAGGAGGCTGGGTGAGCTGGCCTCAGGATGTAGCGCTAACGATCGTACGGGGTGGCGGCCTGGACCCCCGCCACATGCTGTGGTGCGCACAGGCGATTGATCCGCCGAATGCCCAGCCCGCCCCGGACAACGACCAATACGCGGGAAAGGGCAACGAGAACGATCATTGGACTCTGGGGCAGGCCCAGGGTTCCAGGACTTCCGTCGGGACCCGCGTTCTTCATGCTAAGTCTGCGGCGACGCGGGGCGTCTTCGCCGCCCCTCGGGGTCAGAATAAGGTCCTGGTCAGCGTGTTTTTTTGTGTCGTGCGAATTATTTCCGGGCGATGCCCCCCGGGAGGCCCGAGTATTGCCCTTAGTTTTTGTGGCCAGGAGCCAGCACTTCCTGCTGATCGCACGGGTCAATGCTCGGGCGGCTCCACTGGCACTCGAGCGCCCCCCCGACTGGGAGCCCAGCGCTGACTTGGTCGTTTTTCTGTGCTCCCTGTCCTTCTCCCCCTCCTTCTGCCCCCCCCCCCCCTTCTCCCCGATCCTCCCTTCCAGGCCTCCCGCATGGGGTCCAAGTAGATGGGGTCAGAGAATCGACCCGCATCCAGCATCGGCGATGCGGCTCGGGGTGGAGTCCGGATTTCTCCACGCCGACGGCGCTGGTGCCTTGCCGACGTCCCCGATGCAGCGCCGATGCATTGGCGATGTCATTGGGGCGGCGGGGCGCGAGGCTATGACCCCAGCTGCTCGGACCCTGTTTTTTGTAGGCTTCGATGCGATCCCTGCAGGCCCATCCCTCCATCCCTCCATTGAAAAAGAAGCTGGGGAGGAGGAGGAGGAGGAGAAGGAGGAGGAGGAGGAGGAGGAGGAGGGGGCGTAGGAGGAGGAGGAGGAGGAGGAGGCCATCCTCCTCCTATCCTCCTCCTCCTCCTCCTCCGCCTCCTCCTTCTCCTCCAGCTGCCATGGTTGCTCGAGCGATTCCGCTGGCAGCAGGCTGGCTCCTTTCTGCAGCAACCCAACTGAGGGTTTCCAGCACCTCGCCCCGTGCGATCGGCGAACCGTAGCTGAGAGATACAAAGATTTTGGCTGGAACCCTCAGAGCGCTCGCGGAGACAGGCTTGATGAGATTGTGTTGACGTGCAGGTCGTTCGATTTCATACTGCTGGGGGGGCACAGGCGTGTGATCGTGAAGCAGAGGAGCCCCTCCAACGACGTGCCCAGGGGCAGTCGACCATCGAGAGTGAGTATAGCCCTTTTTGGCACTACACCAACCCCAGCACGGGTTGCACGGTGGTATCGAACCGAGCCTACCATCTCAGCGACATGGTGCGAGCATGGTCGAGTCCTTGAGGAGCGGGAGGCCGGGCCCTGGCAGTCCGGATCAAGCGTGATTGTCAGGATTGTTGCTTGGTGGTCCTTTTTTCCCCACCGCAGCCGAGGTGGGCCACGGAGGAGCCGCCGTACCTTGAGACGGTGCGACTGCTGGGTGACTGGCCCGACGAGGTTCTCAGCTCCCTTCCTTCGCGCTGCTGTCCCATCATCTACTCAGGCGTGAACGACGGTATCGGTCTCGGTCGCAAGCCGTCGAAGTGGCAGTGGGTCGATGACGGAGTGGCGTCGGAGATGGCGGCGACGAAGGAGGCCAGGAGGTACGCAGCAGGAGAGACGGTTCGTGAGCGGGCCGCCCAGCATCACTTGTTGGTGGCGAATGCACAGAAGGGGTGGATACCTACGTACTTCGGCACGAAGGGTGGCAGCTCCATCATTGATTGTATGTTTTTCTTCTGCATATTGCGGATGTGATTGGGCGTTGCCACCCGCTCAGGGGCCTTGGCGCGCAGCTGCAGGCTTTCAAGGGCCCGCCACCGCAGGATCATGTGCCGATCATGCTACACACCCAGGCTCCCAAGTTTTCGGCACATATTCATCGAGCCCCTCGGGTGGACTGGGATCGGGGTAAGATGATGGACGCTCTGAAAGGGGAAAGTGACTTGAAACGCGACTTCCTGACGGCCGTGGAGAATCGATTGCAAAACGAAAACCCCCAGTGGACGGAGGTGCTACGGAGGGGGGACCATCTCGCTTCTTTCACTATATTAACAACGTTTTGATTGAGGCGGGGCGGCCTCTATTCCGCCCAGTGCATCAGCAGCAGCACCAGGAAGATGCGGCGTTTCGTCGAGACCTTCTCCGGTGACGGGTCGAGCTCCGAGCTGAACTGGGATCTCTGGCGACTGAGGGCGGTACTGGGTTGGAGCAGATTGAGACGGAGTTGAAAAGGGCAGTGTCGCCAAGAGAGAGCGGCGCGGAAGAGGTTTATGGAGGAGAAGACCGAGGCAGCCTGGAAGGATGGGAGGCTCGCGCTGGCGATGAGGCTTGCTCGGGAAGTTGACAGGTACAGGATCGGACCAAAGAAGCGAGATGGCCGCGCGGGTTTCTTGCATCGGCATTGGGCACCTCCTCCTCTGCGCCTTGGGAGCCACCCTTGGGTCCAGCCCCGATGCAAGAAATCCTCGAGGACGTCGATAAGTTTATGTTTTTTACATGTGTTCGTTCCTCCAAGGAGGCCCCCGAACCACGTGGTCATTGTTGGGTACATGGGCCGCAACAAATGGGCTACGGGCCATGAACAACAAGGCGACTCTGATCTGCGAGGGGCCATGGTCCACGAGACTGGGTCGGATGGTTACGAGTCCCGGATATTATTCCCCCCGTTGCCTGTCTTTCGCTTCATCATCTGCCTTCTCATCAGACATGCATGTGCGTGCCATGAAGCCGTCGTGTTTTGTTGGCAGGCGAACTGTGGAGCAGCCGCGACACGAACATCATACGATCGTTGACATCGACACGATCCGAGATGTAGAGCGACTTGTGGGTACAACTGGGAAGGCTCTGCAATTCGGTTTGGCCAGCCTGGCGAGTCAACCTGCGGATTCTTTGCAGGGAAATGTCCGAACACAGCCTCGTACCCTGTCTGCTGCCAAACTCTACCGTCTTGGTCTTCCCTTCCTCATTCCTCCTGCTTCCCTGTTCTTCGCCCCCTCCTCCCCCCCCTCAGTATCCCCCCGTCCTCTCATCATCCTCCTCATCCTTTTCCTCATATTCCTTCTTCTTCTTTGTCGTCCTACTTCGTTCTGATCGTTGTCCCCCCTTCATCCTTGTTCTGATTGTGATTAATTTCCTGTCGCATCCTCTGTTCTCCACCTGCTGCTCTTCCCCCTGATTTCCTTACCTCCTTTTCCCCGATTGGGTGGCATGACGTTTCCCCCACGTTCTTGTGGATGAGGATCCCTGCGCGCCAGCATGTCAGGGCGTGCCCATCGAAGCAATACCAAGGCCAAGGTCACCTCGTCTTCCCCTTCTCCCTCTCCCCCTTCGCTCCACTTCTCTTCCACCCTCATCATGCTTGGGCTCCTTACCCGTTCGCTCTCCGCAGTATGTTATTTCTCGCTCTGTTCTGTCGTTATACTCCGTCTCCTCTTCCTGGCCACACTTCCTCGACGATCCGTCCTCCTGTTTCGCCCCATCTACTTGCTCCTGGTCCCTCCGTCTACTTGTATTATTTTTTTCTATTGGTCAGCATTGTGTCCATGAGTAGTAGTGCGTCGTGGGTTCCCTAAACGGGCTTATCAACCGACTTCTAGCTTAACTCCTTGAACTGTCCAGCACCCCCCCTTGACCGATCCCGTTGGGATGGCAATGAGTCTTGTGAGGATGTCATGGGGATGCAACCTTCTGGTATGGCAATGAGTGCCAGGGATTCATGGGCAATGGATACCTGGGATATGGCAACACAGTGCAGTATAATCCGATCGTGTCCAACAAAACCTGTGGTGACCAACGGAGCCGCATGGGTGCTTCAATGGAGAAGTCTGCGATGCCTGCCAATGGAGTCCTGCGGGGTCTAATCAAGTCGTATGGACGTTCGAATGCAGCCTAATGCAGTCCTACAGCGACCCCTGGAGTCCACTGGAGCTGCATGGAGTCAAAGGGGGTCTCGTGGATTCCAATAGATTCCAGTGAAATCGTATGAAGCTCAATGGAGTCATATGGTGTGCAGTGGAGTCTTATCAGAAGCCCAATGGAGTCCAATGAATCCATATGGAGTTCACTAGAGTCCATGGAGTCCGCACGCGTATTCCAACAGAGTCAACTGGAGTCGTACGGGTGTAGTGCAGTCCTATGGAGTCCAAAGGAGCCCAATGGAGTCCTTTTCAAGTTCAAGTCCAACGGAGCCCATGAGGCCAATGGGGTCCAATTGGTGTTCCAATTGAGTCGTACAGGTATTCCGATGGGATCCAATGAAGTCCAGTGGAGTCCACTGGAGTCCAATCGAGTCCGACGGAGTCCACTGGAGCCGATTGGGATCCAGTGGAGTCCACAGGACCCTATGTTTGCGCCACGGTGCCAGGGCTGAGTTTGGAATCTTGGCGTGCTTCTTGGAGTTTTCTGGGGTGTATGATGCCGATCACTCGGCCTTCTGGGCGGCATCTTTGAGGATGCTCCGGGGTTTGTTGGAGACTCATGGCGGTCTCGGGGGCCGTCTTTGGGAGGGGGACCCGTGGGGTCCCTATGAGCTATGAGTTTCCCCGTTGGGTTCCTCTTTCAGGCCTGTTGTGCTCCTCTCTGGGGCTCGCTCGGCAGTCTGTGAAGCTTCTTGAGACGTCTTGCACACATGCAGGGATCGCGTGCATGTCGACTGCATTCAGCAAGCCCCCTGCGTGAGGGGCGATCGGGGCCCCTGAGTCCAGTAACCAGAGCCTCAAAAACGGCCCAAGAGACCCCCAACAGGCTTCACACGACGGGCCCATGGGGCAGTCTTGGGATATGTTGGACGCGTTCCTACCTCCACGCGGGGATATCCCGGAGCGCCCAGGTAGTCCAGGAATAGTGCAATTCCATGTGCATATTTTGATAGCGGCTTCCGTATTCAATAGCTAAGGCAGTCGAGGACTTGAGGGCGCTCGCCACTCATCACCTACGGCACGGGCTCGAATCTTCACTCCTCTCCTAATGCTGAAACTCTACCGGCCGCCACATCTGCTGATGGGTGACCGCCGCTATTCTTACTCTGGCCTCAGGTCCTGCCACCACGCGTGTACTCTTCCGATCGTGCTCCTCCCGATACGGCCCGCTTGGCCGCCGAATTTCGCGACATCGCTTCGCGCTCGGGCTGGTTTCAAGGCCTTGCTGCCAGCGGCGGCGGCTGGTTCAGCACCCGCCTCCGGCTCGCGAGCGGGGCGCGACGCCCGGTGGGGCCACGGAGTCTGGACGCGTGACCGCCGCATCGCGCGGGCACAACAGCGCACGGCACCCAAAGAGCTCCGCGTGGAGCCCAGAGCCATTTTGGTTCAAGCAGTTTGGGTGTCGAAGGGCACACTGAAGGCAAATCCAGCGCTCGTACCCCGCCCAAGAAGAGTGGGGACCTGCCATCAAGAAGGCCGGCGGCGAGCGCAGCGAGATGGCTAGGGGTGGGCCGCCAGGTGGTGCCTCTCCCGCGGTGGTCCCGCAGGAGGGTCGTGCCGTAAGCAGAGAAAGCGGCGGCTGCGCTCAGGGTGTCTTCCTCGAGCTGGTGGCCGAGGAGGGTGCAAAGCCTCTCCAGGTCGGCCTGGGACCTGTCGACAGGGCGGTGATGGAGGACGGCTTGCGAGTTCTCAACACGTTTCTTCACGTTCCAGAAGTCGATCCGGACACACGTGTGCGCTCCAGCTCGGCCCCCGCGACGACGAGGGGACAATGCTCCACACCCGCTGCGGAGGTGTCCATGCGCGTCTTGATGACATCGTGTGTCGCGGAAGGGGCCATCTTCGATTTGGGCCCGACGTGGGGGTCTATCCTGCACTCGACGGGTAGGTGCCGCCCTTGCCTGTTCGCCGAGCGCGGTTGCAGGAACGGGGAGATCTGTCGATTTTGTCACATTTGCCCCTCGGCAAGGAGGACGCGGGCTACAGAGGAGAAGATCAAGCAAAAACACTTTTCGTGGCGCAGTCTCCGCAAGGCCACTGCCGGGGCGAGGGCGAGGGCGCGTGGTGATGGAGCACCTGTTGTTGCTTGACCTTTTGCAGCTCAGAGCCTGCGGCGTGGGCTGGCAGAGCGGTTGGGGCTGTTCTGCTTCGGAGTCACGGGTGCACGAATTATTCGCTCGGTGATCTCTTGGCCATCAAGTTGGCTGCCTCTTCTCCGTATGCCGAATCCACTCGCTTTGTGAATAAATTCAGCACGGGCGCAGCCTGTTGGCGGGCTTAGTAATTCAATTGCTGCACTCGGGACCGATCACCTGCCATCTGGCCTTGACGAGTGGAAACATCTAGCCACCGCAAGGCCCCAGCGGCGTTAGGTACGCATGGCGGTGCTCAGGGCAATTCGTGTGGCACGGCCCTCGCAGTCCAAATCACCACTCACATGGCATGCGGTTTTGTTTGAATCACGGGTCAGCCGTGCACGTCATCTTCACCTTGGCAATTGTGTCTCGGCCATGTTTGTGCCTGAGTTTCTCGGCCATGTCTGTGCCTGAGTTTCTCGGCCATGTGGCCAGCGCAGGTTTCGCCTGCGATGCAGCTCGATGTTGTTGCAGCCAGTTTAAACACATGCTGTACGGTTTTATACAGCCTTCCGGCGCGCTTTGTAATTTCACATTGTTGCGCTTGGGATGATCAATTTGTTGCACTTGGGACCGGTCACCTGCCATCTGGCCTTGGCGAGTGGAAATGTTCAGCCACCGCAATGCCTCAGTGGCGTTAGGTACGCATGGCGGTGCTCAGGGCAGTCTGTGAGGCATGTCGCCCTGACTGTGAGGCGAGTCTTCGCCACTGGCATGCTTCGGTGGCGCGACGCGACCAGGTATTTGAAAACGCTCGCCTGCAGACGGGCGAGCGGTGCCGAGCATCTTCGTTGCCTGTACCCCCGGGTGGTTTGATCAGGGGGGCAGTGGGGAACGACCATTTAGCATTAGCACCGCGCCCACACATTCAGTGTGCCTGCAAAGTCGCAGACGGTGCTTCAACCTCATATTCTGAGGCAGCGCACGATGCTGTTTCAACCTTCTGGTTCTGTTCCTATCGCGCGCGCGTTCTTGCTGGAATCTGATGTGAGAGTCTTTACTCACTGGTGTGAAAGAAAAAGAGCTCCGCTGGGAGCAGCCCGCATCCCCATCCGCAGCGCCGCCTTCTGGACGGGACCCCGGCTGGGCGAGGGCCTTCTGAGCACACGGCCTTGAGTTCCTGTCGTCGCAAGTCTCTCGAGTCGGGCGTTTTCGCTCAGTTTCAGGCCATGGGGCCCTCACATATCGATCCTGCATGAGGAATGCCGCAGGTAAGCGAGGTGCGGGGCTCCGGTCGTGATCTGTCACGACAATGGGTTTCGCGTCGTCGGTTCTCATGGGAGGCAGCGGCCACAGCAGCACATCCTGAACCCAAAAGCTCAAGTAACATGTGAATGTGTTTTTCAGTTAGCATGTACTTTGATTTGGTAGTCGTTGAGTTATATGAAATATCTGTACGCCAGCAGGTTCCCCACGGGTATGGGTCGTCCCCCTGAGGCGCCAAGAAGGAGCCCACAGAGGCCTCTTGGGCACCTCAAGACCCCTCGAGGATCGACGAAGAGATTGCGCCCCTGGTTTGTGGAGGGTTTCTCCAAAGAGCTTCGGCGACCCCTCCTCCTCCTCCTCCTCCTCCTCCTCCTCCTCCTCCTCCTCCTTCTCATCCTCCTCATCCTTCTCCTGCTCCCCTTTCTCCTCCTCCACTTTCTCCTCCTCCTTGTCACTCCTCCTCCATCTCTTCCTCCGCCTCCCCCTCCTCCACCTCCGTAGTACGAGTGCGTAGTCCTCATGCCGATCTCCTGCCGATCTCCCCTTCTCCTTCTCCTCCTCCTCCTCCTCCTCCTCCTCCTCCTCCTCCTCCTCCTCCTCCTCCTCCTCCTCGGGTCGCCTACGGCCCCGGTGGAAACCGTGCACTGGCCCGGGGGGAAACCGTTTCGCATGTGTCTATATTGCTTGCCAGTTCGAAGCACGTTCCTATCCCTGCGTTTGGCATCGCCTCGCCTCGGCTTCCGAGGGCGCATCCCCGAGATTGGCCTCGCCCTTTGCTCGCCCACCTTAGGGCTGGGGATACGTTCGAGGCTGGTTACCTGTACGGCATCCTCGATGCTCCCGACCCTCGAGCCGGGGTCGGCAGGCCTTGAGTCGGGCACGTCCCTCTACAGGAGGAATGTCCAGCACTAGAAACACACATGGTCTGGGGACGACGTGCTGCCGATGTTTGGCAAACCACTCTCGAGCACGTTGTGGCCACGTGTTGATGCCTCCTCTGGAATCCGCCTGTCGGGGGGACGTGCCCGGCCGAAGGCTGGCCACCCCAGGGGCTCCAGGGGCCCAGGAGAGTTTGGCGGCGCGCAAAAGGGGGTAGGGGGGGGGAAGGCTTCTTAGAAGCACCCTGCTTCTTGGAAGGCCTCGGCCTTACGTCTATAGAGAAGGCCCGCGCCTTCTAAGAAGCAGGGCTGCTTCTAAGAAGCCTTCCCCCCTCCCCCTACCCCCCTCTGCGCGTTGCCGAAGAGCGGCCACCACGAGTCCCTCCGGGGAGGCCAGGCGGTGGGCCCGAGCGGTGGCAGCAGCTGGCCGCTGCGGCGGGGTGCTCTCTTGCGGTCCCCTCGGGGCGCCCAGCCAGACGCGGCCTTGGCTCGGGGGCGGGAGCAAGTCGGGCGGCCTGTCCCTCTGCGGGAGGAATGCTCAACAAGAGTCAAGAAACAGTCTGGGGACGATGTTTCGATTCTGTTTCTTCTGGACCATGCTTGGTCATTGTTGGACGTTTTTTTATGATGTTTCGTCCCAGATCCGCCTGTAGCGGGGCATGCCCGACCCAAGGGTAAGGGGCGCGAAACCGCCACCCGCGAGCCGCCTTCGGCGGTGAGGGCCACGATGCCTTCGCGAGCTGGAGGTGGGAGAGGTCTCGACCAGGACGTCCAGTAACCGAGAGCCCCGGATAGCTGAGAGTTGATTCTCCCCGGCCAAGGCGGAGTTGGTCGGGGGAGAGGGGGGGGCGAGGCCGAACTCCATTATCGCGAGGAGAGTTACGAATCGAAGTTGGTATTCCTTGTGTTGAGCAGCAACATCATCACGAATTTGTGGCAGGGCCTATTTGGGGGACTCTCACAATTTCAGCTCGCCCTAGTCACGAACGTATGGCCAGGATATATATATATATATATATATATATATATGAGATGAGGCCTCTGACGAGAGAGACAGCGGGTAGCCTCTAGGCCGCGCCCTCCAGAGGAAAACATCATCGTCGTCGCCGTCGTCGACGACGTCGTGGTTTTCGTGGGGCGACGACGACCTCCTCACTCCTCTTCATATAACCAATGTACGACTTGCCGGGACAAATCGTTTAGTATCCCCCTGGGACCCCGGACTTTATGATCCCCTGGGTGATATTCTCAGGGGCATTTGCTTACCAGGGAGGGGCACGCCTACAGGAGGTCGAATGCAATCCCGATTCATCCCGCTTAATCTGTCTTAATCCTTGGCGCACTCGGACGTGCTTGTGCTTGGACCTCGAATCGGGCCTAACACTTCTCAGTCAATCCAACGGAGACCACCCCAGAGTCGAGTCCACCTCGACATCCCTGCAGGCCTGACCTCCGAAGCCCAGGGCATTTGCGTCGTTTCGGAAAGAGACCAACTGTATGAGCACAGAATCTGTCGCAGGTCCGCGGGCATTTCGTGGGCCGGCTTCCTGGCTAGCTTGAATTGGAGAAGGAGAAGCGGCACAAATGCACATGAACGTGCAGAGTCCCGCGCAGATCTCTTGGATCGGCGATGGGCCCCCTGGCGGCGCCCCCTGCTCGATTCAAGAAGCTCCGCGAGGAGCCCCGGAAGAGTTTGTGTTTCTTGAGTTGCCCCCTCCGAGCGGCCCGCCCCCTTCGCCCCCATCTTTCGGCCGCGTCCTCCGCTGTTCTCCTCCCTCCTGCATGGTGCCACAACTCGCTTCAGCGGCATTCCCGTTGGGGCCCTCCCGCTGGCGCAGACGCTCCCTGCCCCGCCGCCGACGAGGAGAACCGTCTCTTGAGCTGCTCCCGCTCCTGCTCGAGGCCCTGCTGCCAGCGGCCGCCGGCGGCTGGAAGTGCGCGCGCCTCGCGCGGCGCGAGCCCCCGGGGCTTCCGCGCGCGCGACGCCCGCCGGCCGCCTCGCCGAGCCCCGCCGGGCCCCCCTCGCTGGGCCCCGGGGTTTGTCCCGCGTGGGCGCCCTGCCCGGCCCGGCGCCGGGGCGGCGGCACGCGCGCCCGCCGCTGCCTCGCGCGCCCCGCGGAGCCCAGCGACGCGCCGCCCGTCTCGCAGGGCGCGGCGCGTCGGCGGGGCCGCCGCTGCGGCGCGGGGTGCGTGGAGGCCCCTGGGCGCAAGAGCCGCGGCAGTCCAAGTGCGCTGCGAGGGCGAGGCGCTTTCCGGGGTGGCCCTTCGGCCCATCCGTTCGGCATTGTTTCACCGATCCCCATCCCCATCTCCATCCCCTTCGAGACCCCCACCAAACTTCCACCCCAGTTGGGGATACACCCCTCGAAACCCGAAGGGGACGGCCTATATCCCCATGTAAGAGGGGGAAATCAAAGTGGGGCCCAGGCCACGCCGCTGGGGATGGGGGTCGGATAAACGATGCTCGCTTCGGCCCATCCACGAACACGGCCGAAGCATGACTTTGCTTGGAAAAAAGCATCGGCATGGCCGTGCGAGGCCCTTGCCTCCTCATCGTGCGTCCCTCTCATACGCGTTGGCCGGACTCGTGCTGGCGAGTGCCTCCCAGGAGTTGCCTCGGAAGGGCCCGGCCTCGGGAATGGCGAGCGGCCGTCGGCCGACGCCCCCCGAGGCGAGCCCGGTGTGGTGCCTCCGCTTGTCTTCGGGCGTTTCGCATTGGGGTCAGTCAAGGGGGGGGGGGGGCGGCGATAGCTTTTTGGGGGCGATCACGCTTGCATTGGGGGGCGGTCACTTTTGGGGGGGGGCGATAACGGTTGCATTGGGGGTGCGAGAGCTGCTGGGGGGGCGATGGCTTTTGTATTGGGAGCGGGGTCGGGGGCTGCAGGGAGGGGGCCGCAACTATAGAGGCCCAAAGGAGGGCAGCCCTGGGGCGCTGAGAATGCACTCCTTCTCCCCTCTCCTCATCTTCCCCCTTCTCCTCCTCCCCCTCCTCCTCCTCCTCCTCCTCCTCCTCCTCCTCCTCCTCCTCCTCTTACTCTTTCTTGTCCTCCTCCTCCTCCTCCTTCTCCTCCTCCGTCTCCTCCTCCGTCTCCTCCGTCTCCTCCTCCTCCTCCTCCTCTTCCTCCTTCCTCTTCCTCCTCCTCCTCCTCCTCCTCCTCCTCCTCCTCCCCCTCTCCTCCTCCTCCTCCGCCTCCTCCTCCTCCTCCTCCTCCTCCTCCTCCTCCTCCTTCTCTATCTCCTCTTCCTCCTCCTCCTCCTCCTCCTCCGCCTCCTCCTCCCTCCTCCTCTCCTCCTCCTCCTCCTCCTCCCCCTCCTCCTCCTCCCCTCCTCCTCCTCCTCCTCCTCCTCCTCCTCCTCCTCCTCCTCCTCCTCCTCCTCCTCCCCTCCCCCCCTTCCTACTCATTTCCTCCTCCTCCCACCCACCCTTCCCCCCCTCCTCCTCCTCCTCCTCCTCCTCCCCTCCTCCTCCTCCTCCTCCTCCTCCTCCTCCTCCTCCATACGGGGGGCGCTACTCAGCATACCCTATTCCTCTCCATTCGAGTAGGAGGCCAGCTGCAGAATGGATGTACCCCAGCATGGAACGTGTCGTCGAAGCTGTGGAAACAAAAAACGTAGCACGTCGTAGATCTACGAACATGCAGGCATGGTTTTCGTAGGTGCGACAAACAAACCAATTCTGGGGTGAGTCAAGTCTGCTGTCGATCTCCTTCCTACTCGATTCGTCGCTCCCCCATGCAGCAACGCCCGGCAACTTTTCCCACCACCGCGATTCGAAGAAGGGAGACCGCCATACGCAGCTTCTGTCTCAGCTCCGCGCGGAGTCCTTCGATCGGCGCCGGGCCTCCCTGGCGGCGCCCCTCGCGCCGCCCGCGGCCGGCTGCGCGCGCCCGGGAGCCGGGTGCAGCGCCGCTCCAGGCGATATCCGCGAGGGCCTCCGGGAAGCAGAGTTCTTGCAGTTCCTCGGTTCGTCTCCGTGAGGCTCTGGGTGCCGAAGCAGATGGCAGCTGAGCATAGTGTTCGGTCGGGCCTGCTCCTCTACAGGAGGAATAGACAACAACAGTCGAAAAACAGTCGGGGACGTTTTTTCCCCACTATTATGACGATTTTGGAGTACTTTTTTTTTG